GGGTTGGAAGTTCAGTTGAGAGGTCATGGATTGCTTTAAAAAGGTGCATTAGACATGCAACTCAGGGTACATTTCCCAATAATGTTGGATCTTAGAATTAACAAATGTGTTAAGTCTTAAGCAACGAGTATCGTTTCATATGTACTCGTTAGACGGATTAAAAAAAAAAGCAACTCAGTAAGTTAAGAATAAAGCTATCATGAGGGGAGGGTGCTGCCTTAATAAAGTTTTGCCTTTGAGTTCAATCTAGACCCCTGGAAGGTGGAGACGGAGAGAATTGTGTCCAAATAGATGATAATCACATGCAATGTTTTCCACCTCCTCCATGATGTGCTTGTCAAACTGAAAAGACATTCAGCAATAGCTGATCCAACCATAGTCTAAAAAGGAGCACTATACGAAGTAATTTCTGCTGACTGCTATAATGATTTTTATCTTGAGGTTGCCAAACATGGGTCTGGGCATGTGCAATACAGGTCTGTTTCAGATTTTGTATTATTTTTAAGGTTCGAAATCTGGTTATGCTTAATGTGCAACAGAGGGATATTCATTGTGCAGTGCAAGTTGCAACTGTGATAGGAATAGGATATTTCACAAGCTTGACGTGTAATATAACAATACTACTGAACTCCATTCTCCACATACTCTCTATTTTACTTTTATTGATTGCATTTTACCTTTTTATTAACTTTAATTAATTAAAAAGGTAATAATTTAATAACCACTCTTCATTGTTTTTCTTTCTAGAAAATTGGCCATTATATTAAATATAATATCATAATATTCTTTATCTTTATAGCTTCCACTTTTTTTGGGAGACCTGCTTTCAGTTTTTCAAAGAAATCTGCAGAAGTATTCTTCTACACCTCCAAAGCTCATTCTTAGAAGTTGGCTGCATCTGCTGTCTCTCATGAACTAATTAATTCCAAAATGATGTTAAGGTTTGGACTCTGGGGTGGCCAGTCCATTGTTCTAAGAACACCAGCAGTTTCTCTTTCTCATTAACAGTTTCTTGACAGCTATGTCACTGAGCACTGAGTTGTCTTCTCACTTTCCCCTTTCTTATACAAGTGGATTATATCACATTTAATGTCCTCATCCATCCACCCATCCATCCATCAGCTCACATAATTCTGAAACTACTTTCAATACCTCCTCTATATTTTATGCTGATGTTTGGCATGGTGCAAATATTAAGTAAATAAGGTGCCAAGAAATTCAGATGAGGTGCAACACTAAAGCCAAGAAGTCTGGGTTGGAACACTTCCTTTTGATCTGACTTGTACAGTCACCGCACAGCTGCAAATGTGAGTTAGTGAAAAGGGCAATCACAAATGATGGCCCATGCCTAGTGTGTGAGCAACAGGCTGGTACATTCTCTAATGAGGGTCTCTGAGTGTGTGATGGTGGTGGTGGGGTATTTTACCCAGTGGTTTTATTTGAACACTAACAATCAACATCTCATGGCAACTGAACTTTTAGGGAAAACAAATGCTTGCAAGATTACTGACATAACCTGTCAGAGAAAAACAGATAAAAATAAACATGAAACAAAAAACAAGATACGGGATGCATCAGCTTGGGAGATGAGTCATATCTACACCTGTGAACTGTATGTATGCCTTGATGAGCAAATACATTTCAAACTCTTTCAGTGATCTTTTATATAAAGTCAAACATATTCCTATCATGAAAACAGCAGTACTCAATAAACTGAAAATATAAATTGCAACAAGATAAATTTCATATTTTGTGTGTGTTAATTTATTAATTAAGGATATTATTTTGTTTACAGAGGTTAAAGTATGTTTTGCTGCACTGTAGGATTTCTGCATGCCCAGTAACCTTGGTGATAATTATAATTCATCTGCAGTTTATAAACATCACCAAAATACAAAGACCGCATCAGCTAATTACTCACACACTGTGTAACTTACACAGACACTAAATATCTCTGAAGGGACACATGATTTGATTTAAATTGATTACAAGGTATATTCAAAATAAATAATGAAACAAAAAACATGTACAACAGGAACAGAAAATTATATGCCAGTCATCTGCCAATCAACTGCCTCTCTTGATAGAAGAAAAAAGACTGAGCTGCAATTTAATTGAGTTTACCTAGATTTACAAATACGCATTGACCACTTTATCAGGAACACCTACCATACACAATGCAAAAGTCGGAGACCATCTTTCATTTACTTCCAGTCAAACAGCAGTTAAGGGAGATTGCAATTATTTTTCAGAATTTCTGTATAATTAAACGATTAAGATGAAAAGAGAGTGGTTAAATGTGAAATGCTCAACTCTACAGAAACATATTGAGTCAAAATTGTTCACAGTGGTGGTGATAGGAACCAGATATCTGAAGTGTTCAATACCCCTAAAAGCTCCCGCACACAAAGTTGAAATGGTTATGAATATGCTGCCTGATAGCTGAGACATTGTTTTATGATAGTTTTATATAAAATTTTGGCCTAAAACATATTTTTAAAATCCTTTCATGGAAAAGTACATGCAGGGCCATGTAAGGCAAAATAGTGCCCAAAAATGTTTTCTTTTTTCCCAAATTTACCACTGTTTTACCATTATCAATACTACACATAAAACCTCAGTTGACACATGCAGGTTCACTGCAACCCCTGGTTCCTATCACCACCACTGTAAAGGAACATGAGTCGGCATGTTTCTCTACAATTAACCATTTCATAGCAAACCACTCCGAATGACTTTGTTTACATCTCAATGACAGAATTATGCAGAAATTTTGAAAAATCTGTGGAATTCCGCTTTAAGTAGAAGTTATTATTTTTTCAGTGTTAGGAAACAGAACACAGAATTACTCAAAAGCCTCAAAAACCAAAATTTTCAGTATTTAGTGTGTCCAGCTTTTATTACAGCTTCCATTCTTTCTTTGTTAGACTTGCTTTCAGTTTTTCAAAGAAATCAGCAAGAACATTTTTCCTTACCTCTTCAGTTCAGTCTTTGGACCGTTCAGAGTTTGGACCGTTCAGAGTTTCAACACTAGCAGCTACACTGTTTGAGTTGCAAATGTTGTGTTCTTTTTTGTCTATTTCCTTTTCTCAGTAACTGCTTCTTGACAGCTATGCATCCTGTCCGAACCAAAGCATTGAGCTGTTGTCTCACACCAGAAGGATGGACCAAAACACTTGTGCATTTATCTTGCTTATCTCTAAAGCAAGACTGGAACTGGATTTTCTTTTTTATCTCTCAAAGATGAAAGCTTTAAGACTATTTATCTGGTGATGACAGTTTTGGTAAGGAAAAATGTTCTTGCATGGTTATCGGGAGTCCTACTATCTATATATCTTTTAATAACTGAATAATTGAACACCAGTTCTGTTTTCTTCACTTCTTTTCCTTTGGTTTTCTCCTTCTTCATGCAAGTGGATTATTTTAAATCTAATCTTTTTAAAAATATCTCTTGAAAAATTAATACCTGGATTATTTTCACTTGAAATTAAATAAATCAGGGGTTGTCTATGACCTTTGCACAGTACTATATGTGCACTTTGTAGATAAACAAATACAATTTCATATGTACTCATTAGACGGATTAAAAAAAATCTTTTTTTTTTTTTTAATCCGTCGTTAGACAAACAATTTTAAAGTAACACTGGTGTGACTGAAACACTCCTCCCAACGCAACATAAACTCAACACCTAATACATGCATAAAGAAAGGACAGGGTTTAGGTCAGCCCCCCCTGTTTTGTCCACAGAAATGTGTATTACTGGAGCTTAAATTCTTATGTTCTTTTCAGCAGAGGGCAACACAGAGTTGCTGAATAGTCTGCCCAGCAAGAGAGAACAAGCTAACCACCAACACGTGTGTAATCTCATGTTACATGTTGTTATCTGTTCCTAACTTGCTTATGTTTATGTTCTTGCATTCCTTTCAAGACCTCAGTGTGCTAGAGCTTGCATCTGGAAAAAAGTCAAAGGAGCTGACTTTTAGCCATTGCCTGATTTCAACCTTTTGTCGTACATCATTGTTGTTTTCTCTCTTTTTTTCTCTTAACAATGGATGACTGAGGGCATTTGGCCTGTGTTTCATCTCATATATATTCCCCAGTGATTCAGGAAGACATGGCTGACCATTCAAGTGTTCTTAATTGCTCAGGTAACTTAAAAACATAAAATATGAATGGGAATATACTTTGGTTAGATTACACTCTTAAGAATTTCTAGGGGTGCCAAAAATTGTGGCGCACACACAGATTTGAGAAAAATATTTTTGTCATGACAAGATTTAGTTTTTTTCTTTCAAAAAGAACAAGTAATTAAGAATATTTTGTATAGCTCAATTTGCTTATGATTGCCAGGGGTGTCAATATTTGTGGAGGGCACTGTAGCTGTTTACTGTTTACGTTTACTATGTACCTACACTCATTGGCCATTTTATCTGGTATGAGTATCAGTTGCAGCAGCGTTGCTAAGGTTTAATAAAAATGTTCAGCCAACAGAGATTCTGTGGTCAGAAAGTGATCATTGGCAAAGGGCTAGATGATAACTATAACGTAAACTGTCCATGCAAAAAGATAAGCTCTAGTAGTCTTTAATTGTACACCTACAAGGGGTTCCAAAAAGGTAGGTGGGTCTAATAAAGTGGACCATAAGTTTACACAGCATGGAAAAAACTCCAAACGTGCCTGACACACTATTAACTAGCACACCACACATTATCATACCACTGCAATTTTACTCTCAGCACACCACACAAATAATATCTGGTCCACCATTGCGCTATAGTGGATCCTCCCAACTGTTGAGGTAGAGGGGCAGCATGATAAATTGTGCAGCAACAGATTGGCTACTGCCACTGACTGTATACCTACAATGTGCACCTGATAAATGACCAGTGTGTGTAGGGATAAGGTAGGTGTATTAATACACTGGCAAGTATACAGAAAAAGAGAAAGTGAGGGTTAGTGTGTTTGTGTGTGGGAGAGATATAGAGCAGTAAGCACTCACATGGGTCTGCAAATGACAAGGTCTCCTTTGTTTGTGCCGTATGCCAGGCCCATCCCGGGCTCAGGAAGCCAGCGGGCAGAGTTAATGCTGACGTGCCTGCGCTGATCTGTCCCCATTGGATAAACCACGTCAAACACTCTCTGCAATACACAATTAACTGCATATTAACGTCAACACAGCACAATATTCTGTAAACTTATATTGTACTTAAGCAGGACTGTTGTACAAATTTTTAAATTCAATGCTTTTTAATACATTTTTAAGACAATGACATAGCAAAAATAATACAAATTCAACAGCACAACAGTGCTATTTCTACTCAAACTAATTCAAAGTCTACTTTTAACTGACTGATCCTTGCACAGTCTTGTCAGTGTTTTTGACTTTGTTATCAGTTTTCCCGTCCTCTGGCCTTTCCTCACTGGTCAGTTTCCGACCACAGGACCACTGCTGGCTGGATAGTTTTGGTTTTAGAATTGAATTAGGGATGTCTGGATTCCTCCCCCTACTCCCTTGTCTTTCAATCAGAATGAGTCTTTTACTATAGAGCATAAGCCAATACTTTGTCTAATCCAGCCTTTGTGTTTTCATATAATGCATAATTTAGGTAAAATATGCTAGTCTGTCAACCTATACTACACTAAAAGTACTTCTTTTAGTGTGTGCATAATGTAACATTCTGGACTGATATGTTTAGATCCAGTTTTATTGACCTCCCTAATGATTTGGCTACTGGTTACTTTGATATGCAGTATTATATATTTTATATATAGAAGTTAAATACTTGTGTTTTTTTTGTGGAGCACTTATGGAAAATAACCAACTTATAGAGTCATGAACACAAAGATGTCATACTGCTGTAACTCGTTTGCAGTAGCCACTCCTTTCTTTTAGTTCATCGTGCATTTCTGCTAACATCAGTTTAAAACTGGTACGACACTCGTAATAGAAAAACATGTACATTCTACATGGTTTTGGCAGCATGTTATTTGCAACAAGTGGTAGAAAACAAACTCGAACAGCCACAGACTCACATTTTATGTGTTGCTGTTGAAAATATTACAAGTTTTCTTTTTTTTTTTTTTACCTTAAAGCTGGTTCAGACTGCATAAATGTAGACTACTTTGATCTCTTCTGAAAAGGCTGCAGTTTGTAGATTAAAATATGCTGAGATTGGACGTCTCTAAATTGAATTCTTCTGTTAGTAAAAAATAAGACAATTTCAGACATTTTGCAACTTAACTAAAATAAAACTTAGTCTGGCCCCAACCTGAGCAACAGTTATGAAACAGTTCAGATTTAAGAGCATTTAAAATGTTTTGAAATGCATGTGACCATATTGTAAAATTGCATTAGTGTTGTATAACAAATAACATAAGTCCTACCTGTTTATCATTTGAATTCTTGACAAATAATAAGAAGTGAAAATACGAATAATGCATGAAATTAGTGGTGCCTCAAAGTTGCATTACACTGTCTGTTGGCAGAAGCTGACATCAGGTGCAAAGCAGCAGACTTCTTCTAAATTGTGCATGTGCAGTTGCTACTGATTTTAGCATAGCAAAAATCTAGCTGTGTTGTACAATCGTGATTTTCAGAAGGGTGGTGAATACTCTTAGACTTACAATTAAATATGTTATCATATGATTCAATAGGGTATATGTATGATTTTAAAGCATGTTCGTTATTTAGTTTTGAAAAGCCCAGCCAGACTTTGAGTACAGCTCTTTGGCTGTGTCATGTCTGTGCACTTCTCTCTCAGTTCCCGGGGTCAAACAAATAAAGACATTTGCTGGAATAACATTTTTGCACTTCAGCGTGAATAGGTGAAGATAAGCTGCTGAATTTGGAATAGATGGCTATATGTAAATGTATTGGTCTTCATGTAAACATTGATAAAATATGGAAATGTAGCTTTACTCCCCAGTCCATTCAGTCCTCATATTGATCCTTATCTGAAAAAATAGCTGGCTTTGAATTCATTGTTTTTGTGATGTGAAAACCAATGCATTTACATCTGTCCATCTATTCAGCCTCAACTAAACTGGTAGAGCTTAACCGCTGTAGGCTGAACAGATGGATATATGTAAAGGCATTGGTTTTAATGACATCACAAAAACAATGAATTCATAATTGGTTGTTTTTTTCAGTTTAGTTTCTGGACTGTATGGACAGAGGAATGAACTGTACATTTTGAAATTTTGAAAATGTTAATATGCTATTTCAAACTCTTATTTCAAAACAGCAAGGAAATCATAAAATTACACTATATGTGCCCTTTAACTCCAGGTGTGCTGAACATTTATGAACATTTATATTTACTACTCCTTAATGCTAACCCAGGTAGGCATAATACGAATTTCAGCATTTTTACACATATAAGAAATATTAATGCTATATAATGACTAATACCACCTTTATTGAAGGAAAAAAAATGTTTTCCATTAGAAGTCAGCTGCTATTCTTTTAAAAACTCAATATATCCAAAATTATAACAAATGGACATACAGCATTTTGGAATGAAACTCTTCATATGTAAATAAAAAAAAACCTTGTCATGAACCCACATTCATATATATTCATATTATACATATACATACATATACATATTGGTGATTCTCTAAATCGAATCACTGTAAAAATGTAAATTTCACAACACATTGAATCATTTCCTGAAACTGCAATCATTGTCAGATCAGAGATTTACAACCATGCTTAAAATAAATTCTTATCTATTCATTAATTAATTCATTCATTCATTCATTCCCCAGACTCTTGCAGTAGCAGAGACAGTCTCTTCGTCACACTGCTATCTCTTGGTGTTCTATTCTTGCTGTTCCTGTCTGTCAACCACAACATACAACTCACAGTTCACTGACTCTGGAAAAAGAAAATAGGACAAATATACATCTGCCAAAAAGAGAAACCAGTCCCATTCATCTGTAGATGCTGAATTGCTCTCTCACTCTTCCTCCCTGCTTGTTCACACACTCTCTCTCTCCCCCTCACTTTCTCTCCTCTCTTTCTCTCTCTCTTCAAGACAGTGGAAATTTAGGACAGGAATAAAAGCCGCCAAGGTTGGCAGTTCAAAGAGAGTCTTTAGGGGGGAGGATGTGTGTGTGTGTTGTGTGTGTGTCTGGGTGCAGCAGATAGTGCGAATGTTTTTGGCCCAGTAGTGGTGACGTTACACTGAGAAGTGTGTCAGGCTCAACTGAAGCTGTCTGAGTATGTGTGTATATAGGGGATGCAAAATTAACAGTGCACTAATTAATCACAATTTTCACCTGTGTCTTTTAAGATTGTGCAAAATACATTAAAATGTATGAAATATATTTAGAAATACAGAGTATGGATGCTGCTATAGGCATTCTGATCATTTTTTCCAGCCTCTGAGAAAATTTCAAGAATATATTAAATCACCTTTGATTAATAAATCACTTTAATGTTTTCTGTTAAAATAACTGCAGCTGTCTATGTGTATATGCATCTGCTCTCTCAAAGCGCATATGATGCCTAATCAGTCTCCAGTTCTTCTCCAGCAACATTCACTAGAGATGGCCCTGATCTGATACCGGGTATCTCTACAGGGCTGATATCAGCAGAAAAGGGGAAACAAGAATGAATCTGAATCTGAATCTTGTCATTTACAAGCAGAGCACCGCCCTGATGCTAGAAATATCACTAATATCAGTGATGTTAGCACTGGAGGACACCTTCAGCAGACTACGCTGGACAGCGCTTCCAATAAAACCGTGGATAAATTAACAAGCAGCAAACTAACAAAAGCAACAACAAAGTGAAAAGAAATAATTCTCCTACAACCTCATTTCCAAAAAAGTTGAGACACTGTGCAAAATGTAACAGTATAACATGTACAAATCATTTAAAAACTCTATACACAAAGACACACTTTTCTTAAACCGCTTATCCTTCTCAGTTGCAGGGGTAGCTGGAGCCTGTCTCAGTAGGCATTGGGTGGATTTAAACTTATATAATTGAAAATAATACAAAGACAACTTATCAAATGTTGCAACTGAGAATTTTTTTAAATAAATGCCCATTTTGAATTTGATGCCTGCAACATGTTTCAAAAAAGTTGCGACAGGGTCAACAAAAGACTGGTGAAGTTATGTAATGCAAAAAACACCTGGTGGAACATCTCACAACTAATTGTTGGCTGTGATCTTAGAGACCTCAGGCAGCACTGCATTAAAAAAAGATACAATTCTATAGTGGAAATCACTGCATGGGCTCAGAAAGACTTCTGAAAACCACTGTCTGTGAACTTGCATCCACGCAAGCTAAAACTCTACCAAGCAAAGATGAAACCATGTATAAACAGGATCCAAGAAGGCCGCTGCCTTCTCTGGGCCAGAGTTCATTTAAGATGGACTGAGATGAAGTGGAAAAGTGTCCTGTGGTCCAACAAATCAAAATTTTAAATGCTTTTTGGAAATCATGGACGCTGCTTCCTCCAGGCTAAAGAGGAGAGGGACCATCCAGCTTGTTACCAGTGCACATGGCATGAGCGACCTGCACATCTGTGAAGGCAACATTAATGCTGAACGATATAAACAGGTTTTGAAGCAACATATGCTGCCAACCAAACAACATCATTTTCAGGGAAGGCCTTGCTTATTTCAGCAAGACAATGCCAAATCACATTCTACATGTATTATGACATGGCTCTGTAGTAAAAGAGTCTGAGTGCTAAACTGGCCTGCCTGCAGTCCTCACCTGTCACCCACTGAAAACATTCGGCACATTTTCAAACAAAAATATGACAAAGGAGAGCCCGAAACTGTTGAGTAGCTGAAACCCTGTATCAAGCAAGAATAGAAAAACTTTTCATTTTCAAAACTAAAGCAATTGGTCTCCTCAGTTTCCAAATGCTTACAGAGTGTTGTTAAAAAAAGAGGTGATGCAACACAGTGGTAAACATGACCCTGTCTTTTTTTAAATGTGAATCATCAAATTCAATATGGGCATATATTTAAAAAAAAAAACAATAACATTTCTCAGTATCTGATATGTTAACTTTGTACTCTTATTAGTTAAAAAAGAGGAACATTACTGAATTCTGCTTTTATTTACATTTTACACAGCATCCTAACTTTTTTGGAAACGGGGTTGTAGGAAC